TTGTTAGAACCATTTTCCCCTATCTGCCAAAATAAAGTGGTGGGGGAAGGTTAGATCTGTTTTTATTTAAATATTAATAATTCCGGACTGGATGGACGGAATTCAACTAACGGGGGCTCATTTAAAAGACCGTTTCTTACTCTATATTATACTATATAAACAATAATAGTAAGCTTTTGAACGTAGATGCTAGGGGGCGCTGTCTTACAAATTAACAAACATTGCGCGTTTTTTCAAAAAAAAAAAATGCGATGGTATATGTAATTTTAGCTGATAGTAAAGAGTAATGAAAGCTTAAAAAGTCAGTGAAAACCGCATCTTGATATCTTCTTTCAAATTGAAGATATTAGCAAAATTATATTAAATAGGAAAATATATGTAAGCCCTTAATTACCATACCTATTTTTACAACACGGTATCAGTAGTCTTAGATTTCAGTGGTAAAATCTAAAGTTATTTCTTTTTAAAAGGATCAAAACTAAAACATTCCACAACAGTTTGGCAAAGTTTATAAGCATTTAAAAATTGTAAGATTTTTCCAAAACATACTATATTTTTAGGTCACCCTGTAGATGGTTTGTAATGAGCCTACCACTTTCTTTCATTAAAATTTAAAATTGTTCTGTTTATACATTATTACAGTATATAAAAATCATTTTTTCATCTTTTGGATTAAAAGTGTTGAGAAGAAAACCTCATGTCCAACCGCTCCCATAAGCTCGTTCCACTGTGCGACGTACCGACTGGCCTATACGCTCAATAGTCGAATTCGGGCAATGCCCGAAAAAAATACGCAAATCTAGTTTTGAGCAAGGAATATTTCCCAAACCCGAAAAACCAACTAACCAATGAATTAACACCCTCCAAATAACCACGCTAACCAACTCGCCAAATAACTAAACCAATCCAACTAAAAAGAGTGAAACCAATGCAATCAAATCACACTATAAGCAAAAAAAAAATCGAATTAAATTAATTTTTCGGGTTTGGGAAATATTCCTTGCTCAAAACTAGATTTCATTTTTTTGACTGTATTTTTCTCGGGTATTGCCCGAATTCGACTATTGAGCGTAATAGATATAAACTTCTGGGCATAAAACCATCACTCCTAACAAACAAAAAATAATAATGTGATTTTTCCATGACAGTGACATTAAAAAAGCAATACATTATTCACAAGTGTGTTGGTGACGACCAAAAGCCATTGAGATGAGCCAAAAACCAAACTATCGAGAGAAAATACAACTTGACGATAAAGTGGTATTCAAGTTCCTTACTTTGTAAAATTAAACATTCAATAAGGCATTTCAAACCTTCGCCAAAATAACAACCTTTTGTTGTCCCTTGTATAATAGACAAATGTATGAGGTCAAAGGTAGACAACATACAAGGATATTTTCCACAACAACTTAAAGGGGATTAACATGCAGAATGAGTGGGAAGAAGCAGCAAACAATAGAACGCAATGGAGAAAAATTGTAAACTCAGTTAACAGCGACAACCAAAAAGCGACACCAAAAAGCGACCACCAAAGCGACAACAAACAACCAAAAAGTAAAGAGGCGGAAAAGTAAACAGCGACAACCAAAAAGTAAAGAGGCAACAAAGCAATGCGATTTTTGAATGTCCGGAGTGCAGTAGAGAGATAACATCACGTATCGGGCTTTTTCAGTAACAATAAAGCTCATGAAAGAAAACACCTTGCCATCTTCTGATGCGTGTCAAATACTCGTCAGCGCGTAATAGCAGTAGCAGTAGTACTAAATGTATGAGGACAATTTTTTATTGGAAGAGGCTAAAAAGTCAAATCATTTAGCTACAAATTGTTTAAAAACGGCCGAGACTAGAAAAAATACTGAACTTAAAAATTAAAATTTTATGGTGTCCTTTTTTCCTGATGTCGGTCGGTGTAGTTTTCGCACTATAAGTAGAGTATGTTTTAGAAAATTACGATTGTGTCCGTTCAACTGTTTCTTGTATCTAATTACTTCCGACGGGAGGAACTCGCGTTCCACTATTAACTATCGTCACACGTGTAACTTCCGCCGGGCACGTGAGGAGAAGAGATAGGGGAAAGAGGTCTATAGGTCTAAAAATAGCAACAATCCGCAATTGATAGTCGACACAGTGCGTGTCGCTCGTCCACTAAGCGGGAATAGGCATCGCTTTCCACCCAAGCCTTATCTTCCGTAAAAATCGCCTAGAAAGGGCGCCAATTGCAAAATACACCGCAATATTTCAGGCCTTTAACAAAATATCGAAGGTCGTGGATGGGGAAAATATTGTCAGATTTTTCCAGTTGGCGTGTGACCTTGATATTTATAATAGTAGTGTTATAAAAATATATGTGATTTTATGTGTAAAAAAATGAGTTCGAACATAATACATCTAAATCGGTTCCAATATCCGAACTATGAATATATAATATACCGGGTATTGTTCAAATGGGGCTCACTCCTATAACTTTTTTATTTTTTGAGATAAAAAAAAACGAGATTTGGTATGTTAGTATAGGACATAAATCAGGATTGACACTGTATAGGAATATACAGGGTGATCCGAACTGTAGTCCGGAAACTTCAGCAGCATATTCTGCAGATAAAAATATGTAAAAAAGTTCCTATAAATGCTTAGTTTCGGAGATACAGGGTGTAGAAGTTTCATTTTTATTTCAATTGTTTTCAAATAATTTATGATGTAACGTCAATATTTGAATGAAAATTGGTGTTAGGGAGTTTTTTGACATGATAAATTTTATTTTGATATCAATATGACTCCTATTTGTAGATGGTGCCACCTACATAGTTTTTTAACTGGTTGAAGGGCTTTTCATCCGTACCTGTATAAAACTACTGAGTAAAAAATATATATTAACGACGTTTTTACGAGTAATGGTTCTCGAGATATAGATATAGATATATAGAGATAATCGAAATTATCAATACCTGTCATCATTGATATTGTTGATTGTACATGTTGACTAAATAGTTATTCGACTGAAATCAAAAATTTGAAATTTTTATGTGCCAAAGTTCAACAGAAATTGTGTTATCACCATTTTTTTACAGAAAAATTTACGATTAATTTAAAAAAAATTCTCAAATTTATTATTTCAGTCAAATAACTGTCTACTCAACGTGTTCAATAATGACATGTATTTCCAATCTAAATATTTTGAGAACGGTTGCTCGTAGCGATTTTTACCAAGAGACATTTTTTACGTAAAAAGTTAAGGAAATGTATATTTTTTCGATCCTATTTTCTTTGAATGTTCGTTTACATTCATTAATAAAAGCAAATTCGATCAAACCAGTTTATAAACTTTCAACCCATGTACCTACGTCATTGAAACAGCAGATAGACTTCAACTTTCCATGCCTTTCATACATATTGTTTTCCGTTATCATTTTTTTCTATCGTTTTCAATATTCAAATATATGTAAACAAACGAAAGGAAACGATATAATTTATGCGCCAATTACCTTGTTTAGTTTATCCTCGTTAGAACAACTAGTTAAATGGCAATTTAATGTAGTCCACTTTCACTCGATTAAATTAGTTATTAATAACTTTGATTGGTAAGTTTCTTCGGCGCCAATAGTATACGGGGTGACAATTTAAAAACTAACCATAGAAAATATCTTTTATTGTAAGAGATATTCTCGATTACTAGTTTTCAAATTATCACCCTATAAGTATAAAGTAGGTATGCATAAAATGCATTTTTCACCGTTATTTATTCAGCGTTTGTTTCTGTTAGTTTACGGTACTAAAATTGTTGGTATTGTGCCAAATGCCTAAAGTAAAGTATTCTACAACAGCGCTAATAACAAACCAATTCAACAACAATGTATAGCGACATTAATACATACATATAAATTTTATGCTGCATTTTTGATTTTTACTACATTTGTATATATTGCAGTCAAATTAGTTAGAAAAAAGTCAATCTAGAGTTTTGAAAATTATCTTATACTGTTTCTTCGCATTTAGGTTGATTGTTACATTTATAGTTGATTGATTGCACAGCCATACAAAAAATAAAAAGTGGTCTATGCTTTTTACCAAACCGTCATATCCTATAGTTGAAAAATACTATAGGATATGATTATTTGGTAAAAAGCATAGATCATTATTTAGACATATGAGATGTCATTCTATTCAGAGTGTTATTTTCTATCGAATAAAGTAAAAAATGCCGAGGGTGCCTTTTAAAAATCAAAAGTTGTAGTCATTTTCACAACTCCTGATCAATGAGTGCGCCGAGACGACAACCATTTGTGCCATAAACTTTGGTACAACTGATATTAGAGATGGAGAACTACCCTCTGTAACACCGTCTCAAATACTGCCCCTGGGACTGTATGATGAGTGATAACTCAAGAAAGGGAGACAAAATAGTAAGTTCGCGGTGATTAACCCCCCCTCCCACTCATGCTATATATCCATTGGAGTGTTTCAAATTCGACTCTCACCACTGGTGGGCCATAGAAACGATAAAAGGGCAAACAACAATACAACAATACAAACAAAAAAATACAACAAAGCATAGATAGTAACAAATTAGAGAAAAGTTGCGTGTTGATGAACCCAATGATAATTCTTTTCATAATTCTACTTATCTCTTAGTATTTACAAAAAAATGATGGGACAACCGAGTGAACTTTATACGAGTTTATTTAAACAGCCCAAAAAATAAATACGTTATAAAAAATTATTTATTGCTTAAAAAAGTGAAACTACCATCACAAAATTACTTATTGAAATTTTCAATAGAGAGAATTAGAAAGTAAAAATAATCCATTTTTTACTCTTTAGTAATAGCAGATAAACAAATTATACATACTGGACTTGAATATAATCTGATACTTTGTTCTTATCTCGTTAATTGAACATGATATGTTAATCTCAACCGGTATGATGTTTTGACACCTTTTATCCTGTTATCTTTCCTGCAATAATAGATACATAGTTTCAATAAGCACCGCCTATTTACTTACCGTTTATTGTTGTCCTAAATCTGACGACTTCCCCCTTTATATTACGTAGTAACGGATTGCCTCCATTTCGAAATTCCTGCAACAAAACGAGATAATATTTAGAAAAAATCGCTCATGCGAATATTTATTTTGATTTATCTAAAACCACCTTGGGCTAAATATTCATATTTAGAAATCGTTTGTTTTTGAAACAAAACGAGAGAATAAATAATAATAAAACATATATTTTTATAGAACGACTTAAGTATTTTGTTTTCGTTTTTTGACTGTCATTAATTTTAAAGATCAATTTCAAAGATAACTCAAATATAAAATACAATATCAAAAATAGGGTTTATTAAATGTTTTAACATTATTATTCAAAATATACAGGATTTCTAGTTTCTTCTGGCAAGATTTTAATTGTCTGTGTTTGAAAAGCTTATTTAAAAAGATCTTTAGGTCACAGTTGAGGGTTGGTTTGGTGTTACACAGCAAAATTTGGTGTTACACCTTTTTGGTGTTAGCACCTTTGGTTAGCACCTTTGGTGTTACACAGCAAAATAAAACACTAAATCACCACAATACACCAAAACACTTTTACTTTTACACTGGACAATTTTGAGTTTATAATCATCTGCTGATGATGCTAACATGGTTAGCGAAACGCGCGTCCAGTGTAAAAGTAAAAGTGTTTTGGTGTATTGTGGTGATTTAGTGTTTTATTTTGCTTTTGATCTTTAGGTCATCGTGAAAACCAGATCCCCAAACATAGAATGTAAAAAATGCCAAGCCTCGCAACACAATTCTTCCACTATAAAAAGTTGTGAAAGCTCATGTAAAACCAAGTCAATTTATTTTATTTAGTGTCTCTTTAAGCACCTATTCTACAATTGTTATAAATTGTTAGTATGTATAATAATAATATAATATTAGTCATCTTTATTTCTGTAATAATTATAATGATTTTTGATAATTGGCAATTATTGCACAGCATCATAATTATAAAAGAATAATCTACCATCTCGATTACTAAGTAAATCTAAACAGTGCCCTTAAAAATAAAGTTTTTTTAATTAGAATAGTACATTATCATATCATGTAATTGTTGCAATTGATTATACTTAAGTTTTTACTCCTGACATTTTCGCATTTATTACTACTTTTCAAAGATAATTAGAACATGCCAATTTTATCAATTTAATTTAGCGGTTTCAGTAACGTACCTGTATTTTAGTTATTCAATAATTGTCAATCGTCAAGTTGCAAAATCCGACTTATCCATTTTTTTTTAAAATTGCCTAATTACATATTAATAGTGGAACCTGAAATCTACATAAACATAGTCCCACACTACAGCAAAAGTCACTTATTCCTATATAAAATTCACTACAAATTTCGTTACTGCAGCAAAATCCGTCTTATCCACTTATGTTTTTTTTATTGTCATTATTGTGACAAATTCACCATTTTTTCATAGACTTTTTACACAAGTAGATATAATATTACTATTGACGTTTTATCGATTTCAGATCCTCTACCTAATTTTCAGGAATTATCAATATTTCAAAGATTCCACTCAATGGACACGTTTTTTGTAAAATATCGTATTATACATTTGCTAAAACAGATGTTTCAATTTATCTCGAAACAACGTTTTTGGGATAAGGCGGGTTTTGCAACTTGACCTCTCAATTATACAGGGTGGCGCCTCTCATACGCCGCGGAAGCTCCAAGGAGAACGGTAGTTTATATCGAAATGAAATTTTGGCAGCATATCTAGGTTAACTGAAAGCATTTTATAAAAATATATATAATTATACAGGGTGTCCCCAAAAAAAGTTACACATCAAAGTTGTGTTTTTTCTAATGGAACACCCTATATATTAATTGCTTTTCGGATTCTAGGATAAAAATAAAGGTAAGTTTTATTAAAGAAGCATATACCTAAAATTTAAGAATTTTGACATATTTCACATTTTGTGAAAACGAAGAGTAAATTTTAAATTTCTATAACAGATACCTAAATTTTAGTTGACCAACAATAGCCTGATATTTAATTACAGTAACCATTGTATGTTAAACCAAATTGAAATTTGAGCCGAAAAGTTATACAGGGTGAAACAAAATTTATATGGAACATTAGTCACTTTTAAAAGCAAGTTACTCCTTTATTTTAAATTGAATACCCAATATATTATTCCGGTGTTCAATGGGGAATTTATATATCTTCAAAATATTATTAAAGTTGCCTACCCCTCAGTTAAAGATTTTTCCTAGATATTTTTATTTTTATTATTTTGCATCAATAGATCTTTATTATTTGCAAAAATATAGGGGGGTGGCTGTGATATACCTTTTGTTAGTTTAACAAAAATTAAAGAATGTAGAGTAAAATACTCAACGGTAATAAAAAAAGATACACGATTAAAACATATTTTAATTAATACAGAATTAACACTAGATATAAACCTATAATTATGTGACAAAAATTAACTAGATGAAATCAAATGCTCAAAATGCTTCCTTTCCTGTTAACTGCATAAAATGATTGTTTTTTCAAAAGGATCTTTTCATTTTAAAAGGCATATGAGGAGTTCTGCCTCAAAAGCAGCTACAATAATTTCTCTCATGTTGTCGACAATAGTTGGTCGAGTTTTGTAAACACTGTCTTTAACATATCCTCATAAAAAAATCCAGACTAGATAAAATCAGAAGCTTTTAAGTATTCTATTAATTGGCGAATGCACACTGCATTCATCAATTAATAGAATCATATCAATTCTCTCTCATGTAGGATAAGTTTGCATTTTCAGCAAATCTGAGAATTTTTTTTGTTTTAACTGACACAAAATGATAACTAGTTATTAAAGTTGGACTAATTAGACAGCTGTCTTGAAGTAACGTCAGACATATCACAGCCATGTAGATTTAATTAATCAAATAATAAAGATCTACTCAGATGAAATCATGTAAATGAAAATATCTAGGAAAATCTTTGTATGGGGGGTAGGCAACCTTAATAGTATTTTGAAGAGAGATGAATTCTCCATTGAATATCGGAATAATATACTGGATGTTCCATTTAAAATAAAAGAGTAACATGCTTTTAAAGGTGACCAATGTTCAATATTAATTTTGTCTCACCCTGTATAACTTTTTGGATCAAGTTTTAATTTGATTTAAAGTACAATAGTTAATTTAACTACATATTAGGCTATACTGGGTAAATTCCAATTTAGGTAGCTTTTATTGTAATTTAAAAAATTGTTCTTTATTTTTAGAAAATGTTAAATATGTCAAAAACCTTACATTTTAGTCACATACTTCTCTTACAAAACTCACCTTTATTTTTCTCCCAGAATCCGAAAATCAATTAATATATAGGGTGTTCCGTTACAAAAAATATAACTTTGATATGTAACTTTTTTCGGGGACACCATGTAGAACTCTCTATATTTTTAAAACGTGCTCTGACTTAACCTACATATGCTCACAAAATTTCATTTCAATACAAACTGTCTCCTTGGAGCCTCCGCGGCGTATAAGAGGCGCCACCCTGTATTAACTTATTTTTTATTAGAAAAAATGTAAAGAACAACGCCAAAAAATAGATGTTCTCTGATTCACTGGATAAATCGGATAAATTCCATATTAACATTCATTAGTTTCGTTAATTTTGATGATATACCTCATCCCCGTCTATTCCTTAGTCTATTACTCAATTATAGGCAAACCGGGAGCAATATTAAATTATTTGTTAATAAAAAATCCACATTTTTGACGAACTATATTTTGAACCAAAATTTTATTATTTTTTTCTATAAGAAAACAATCGAATGGCGCTTGCATTGAGTCACAAAATGTTTCGGTGTATTGTAGTAAAAGCGCGTGCAACTTTCCATAGATACATAATTTCCGCTTTGGACGAAACGGAAAATTCCGATCCAGACGTCGTCGTACTACTCGCGCCGATCCACTTAAAATACCTCGTTTTACGCCAATAAAACGAGAAATATAAACATCGGAGTTGCTTAATGAACAGAGAGCGCCGTTCAATGGATTCCCGTGGGACGCGGTTGGCGGCGGGCGGCCAGGAATCCCGACCGACTCGCCGTCGTTTCGGGAACGAGCGGCAAAAATAGACGACGCGACGGGGATTACGCGGCCCGAATACCGACCGGAGCCAGGTCCAGCTAAAGCTCCGTCTACACGAAACATTTTACTTAAGTTTTGGCTGTCAGTTAAAACAAACCTGGTTTTGCATTGTTACCTGTTCAGTTTTATTTTAAAAATAGATGCAGTTTATCTTAAATTACTTAAAATTACTTCAACAGACGCAGACCTTTCAACAATCCAATTACGATTTGGCTGTAAAATCAACAGGAGAGCCAATATTTGGATATGTTATTGAGCGGCTTGAAATCGGAATTGAGGATCGGGCTTGCACATTTAGGCCCTACATTACGTCTTTAGGAAACATTAGGTCTCTACTACGTACTTGTACCAAAAAATAAAGTTTAGATGAAGTACAAAATCCAGATCTCCGGCATAAATTCCATAATATCGCCTATATGCACAAAACGACCATTTTTGAAAGATCGTTTAGTTACTCACATAGGTGGTCAAGGTCCTCACAAGGTAGTCAAACTAATGAATTTTAATATGCGATCAAGCGATCTCTGGAAACAAGAGGGGTGAACAGTACGATAATTCGCTGGTTTTGGGAAATGCTCTCAACACGGAAAGCAGAGGCTGGGATAGGTACCCAAACTGTAGTTTTTAAAACAACGCAAGGAACTCCACAAGGTGGAGTGACCTCTTCCCTACTGTGGAACTTGTTAGTGGATGAACTGCTAGACGAATTAACACTAGCGGGAATACACTGCATAGGGTATGCAGATGACATAGTCATGATTGCACGGGGGAGACATGAAAGACCCTGTGTGATATTATCCAACGAGCACTGCGCATCGCTGAAAGATGGTGTAGGACTGTCGGGCTGAGCATCAACTCAAACAAAGTAGTACCATTCACCAGAAAGCGAAGTCTGAAAAACTTAAAAAGAATCCAGCTAGGTGTAAAGGAAACACTGCC